AAGGAAGGAAGGAAGCGTCGTAATGTACTACCATAAAACAATATCTCCAAGGGGAGGGGAGAGACCATAAATTGAATTGTCACCTTCCACTGCATATTCCCCCCTCCCCTTTTGACAAGTCATACCCAGGAAAAAAAAAATCAAACGGTTGACAAGTACTTCTTCCAATGAATTAAAAAAAAAAAATAGAAAAAAGATTTTAAAAAAGAACTAAACAACCAGACCCTCAGGTGTCGGGGGAGCGGGCAGTGTTTTCAGGCACACCCACGCCCGCGCCGCCCCGCTGTCCCCGCGGTGCCCCCCGGCCGCTCCCGGCGCTCCGCGGGCGCGGCGCGCTCGGGCGGCCGCGGCGGAGCGCGGGGTGGCCAATCAGCGCGGCGCCCGCGGGCCCTGGCCAATGGCAGGCGCCACATTGTTGTCAAATGTTGCCTAATGGCAACGCGGGCCGCAACAATAGCGCGAGTGGCGGCGCGCGGCGCGGCGGGCAGCGCGCTCCGCTCCGCTCCGGCCGCACGCACCGCCAGACCGCGCCGCGTCCCGGGGGGCTCCGCGCCCGGCCCGGCCCGGCCCTGCCCGGCCCCGACCGCCTGCCCGCGGCTCGCCGCGGCGGATGAGCTGGCACCTCTGCCCGCCTGCGGAGGTGCTGCTCGGGAGACGGGGCGATTGTTATTATTATTTTTTTTTTTAACTACTCTCCGCTGGATTTTAGCCTCTGCGGCTCGTGGCGAGGGATCCTGTCGTTGAAGGTGCCGGATTGTTCTTTGAAGGGACACTGCTAGTTTGTGGCTGCGGTTACAGGGGGACGGGGAAGCGGAGCTTAGGGAGCAGCTCGGGTTGCACCGGGGCGCCGTGGGGAGCGGCGACCCCGCAAGCGCGGACGGGAGAGCTCGGCTTTGAGCCTGGCGAGATGGACTTGGTGCTGCCCCGTCAGATGCGCACGGAGAGCAAGGAAGCGAGAGTGATCTAAGTTTTCTTGGATTTTCTTGTGTTAGCTTTGCTTTTCGGGCGCGGAGGGGAGGAGGGCGCGGAACGGCTCCCCACGGGCCCCTCCTCACTTGAACCCCGCTCCGGGGCCGTGTGCCGGTGCGGGGGAACGGGGGCGTCGAGCGAGGCCAGAGGACAGGCGCTGGGGTTTGCATGCCCGTTCCCGGGGCTCTGTGTGCCCCTCACTCGTGATTGCGCTTGAAGGCGCCGGGAGCCTCTCCGCGCCCGGGCGCGGGTGCGGCGCAGGGGCTCCCCCGCCCCGCATCGCTTTGGGGGAGGCCGGGGAGGGGGGGCCGCTCTCTCGGGGCGGGCTCGCCGGGATGGAGCTGCGGTCGGAGCTGCCTAGCGTGCCCGCCGCGCCCCCCCCGGTGCCCCCCAGCTCGGTGGCGGCCGCGGCGGCAGCGGCGGCGGCCACGCTGCCGGTGAGCGTGGCAGGGAGCTTGCTGCGGGCGCCGCCGCTGCTGCTGCGGGCGGCCGAGAAGTACCCGCGGACGCCCAAGTGCGCCCGTTGCCGCAACCACGGGGTGGTGTCGGCGCTGAAGGGCCATAAGCGGTACTGCCGCTGGAAGGACTGCATGTGCGCCAAGTGCACCCTCATCGCCGAGCGCCAGCGCGTCATGGCCGCTCAGGTGGCGCTGCGCCGGCAGCAGGCACAGGAGGAGAACGAGGCCCGCGAGCTCCAGCTGCTCTACGGCACGGCCGAGGGGCTGGCGCTGGCGGCCGCCAACGGCATCATCCCGCCCCGGCCCGCGTACGAGGTGTTCGGCTCCGTCTGCGCCGGGGGCGGCGGCGAGGGAGGCGCCGGCGCCTCAGGTAAGGCCGCGCTGCGAGCGCCCGGAGCAGTGGTGATTGGGGGGGAAGGGGCCTGGAGAGGCGGTGGGAGATGAGCGGGGCGCGGACCTGCGGGCGGGTGGCTCCGCCGACGGCCGGGGAGCTCCACGGGGCCCGCCGGGGGCAGCCGCACTGACGGTCTCTCCTCCTTCTGCCCCCTCCCCGACCCGCAGAGTCCAAGATGCAGAAGTTCGAGCTGTTCCCCAAGACGCTGCTGCCGAGCCGCGCCGTCACCCCGCAGCAGTCGGGCGGGAAGCCTCTCTCCCCGGACGGCGAGTCCGTGCCCGGCACCTCCTCCCCAGATGCTCGCCACGGCTCGGGCTCGGAGAACGGGGACGGCGAGTCCTTCCTGAGCTCACCCGTCTCCAAGGGCCCGAAGGAGGGGGAGGAGAGCCCGGGCTCCATCAGCCCGCTGGGCTCGGACTCGGGCTCAGAGGCGGACAAGGACGAGCAGGACCCGTCGCCCTCGGCCGGCGGCCGGCAGCGGACTCCCATCGACATCCTGACGCGCGTCTTCCCGGCGCACAAGCGCAGCGTGCTGGAGCTGGTGCTGCAGGGCTGCGGCGGGGACGTGGTACAGGCCATCGAGCAGATCCTCAACAACCGCGGCCCGGAGAAGGGCCCCGAGGAGGGCTGGGCCCGGGACGGCGCCTTGCAGGGCCTGCCGCCCAGCCCCGCCGCCGCCGCCGCCCACCACCGGCCCTTGATCGCCGGCGCCATGGCCCCGGCCATCGGCACGCTGGGCAGCCGCTCCGCCTTCTCCCCGCTGCAGCCCAATGCCACGCACTTCGGGGCCGAGGCCGGCGCCTACCCGCTGGGCACCCACCTGGGACTGAACCCCCTGCGCCTCGCCTACTCGGCGCACAGCCGCGGACTGGCCTTCATGACCCCCTACTCCACGGCCGGGCTGATGCCCACGCTGGGGTTCCGGCCGCCCGTGGACTACGCCTTCAGCGATCTGATGCGGGACCGCTCCGCCGTGCACAAGGAGCAGGTGTACTCCAGCGGGCTCTACGGGCCCATGGTCAACAACACCCCCGAGAAGCAATAGCGGCTTCCTAAAGCTCGTCTGTGTAGAGGTAGCTAGGTAGGCACGGGTGGACGGACACGGGGGGCTTCCTCTCCCCCGTGCGGGCGGTGGTTGCGTGCAGAGCCCGGCGCGGACAGGCGTAGGTGTATTAAGGTGATAAAGGTGCACTTTCATTGTCCAGACATGAGTCACTCTTTGTTGCTTATGGCCATAAGCATGGATATCCTCAGTGCGTCGTGGGGTGTGCACACACACACACACACACACGCTCTTTCCCACACACATACATATATATATATGTATACTAGCAAGTGTATAATGTTATAAAATGGAAATCTAAGTTATTAATGTAACTCGTAGGTGAACTTGGTATTAACGTTAAGCTAAAGGTTAGGCAGCGCATTGTAATACTTACCAGGCATATAGATGAAACATTGTCAAATTGAAAACCTTTTCCTTCCCGCCCCCAGAAACGTTACGGTCTGTATATAACATTGGAAAGTAGATATATTTGTAACTGTCCGTAGGACCCTGGCGCCAATGGTGTATGATGGTTTAATAAGCCTCCTTCATTTGTGATCTGCAAGAAAATTGCTTTCTTGTTCCGATGTAGCAAACTTCTTGCTGTTTCTAACAGGTAATTCTGTGTTTCCATTTCATAGAAATAAATGTTATTTTCTATTAAAAAAAAAAAATCGGTCTTATGAATGGCAAGTGGTATTTTATGAGATGATGGAAGTGTGTTTTGGGAAATTCATTTGACAAGTACAGTCAATATTTAAAGGAGTTTATGCAAATAGTACAAACATGTTTACTACATTTTTATCATGGTCAAACTAGATATTCTTCAGATAAATTTATAAATAAAAGCGAAGCGTACAAGCAAGAGCAAATTCCTTATCAACTGAAATTGTCAAATACGTTTATTTCTAGTTCTGGGCTTATTCTTATTTACGCCTGTGGAAAAAAAAAAAAAAGCAAAACAACAAACCTACAGAGGTATAAATTTAAGCAGGACTTCTCCTTTCGGTATCTTGATGTTTTTTGCCGTATTTAGGAAATTTGGCATTGTCGCAAAGAGAAGCCTGATTAAAGCAAATCCCACCTTGCGAACCGCGGGTTGTGTAGCAGCGGTAAGATTTTGTGATTGTGCGTTTCAGTTGTTTTTGTGTCAAAATAAGCAAAGGGATCTATAATAATGACGTTTTTCAGAATGTCTTTGTGGCAGAAGTGGATGAGTTAAGATCAGTGCAGGGAAGGTTTCTCTGTTTTCAGAGTTGTGTGCCCTTCACTCTCATCCGAGAGTAAAGGCTACTGGCGTGGCTTTTTTAATTTCTAATTTTTTTTGTTTGTTCTTTTTTTTTTGTTTTGTTTTGGTTTGGTTTTGTTATTTTTTTGGGTTTTTTTGGCAACGGGGTCCAAATGTTCTCCGAGATCAAAAAGTAAGAAGGGCTTTCCTGCCTCTATTTATTTCTGAATTGGGATGAGCGGGGCAGCGGCCGTGCCCCCTTGCATCCCGAGAGGAGATCCCGCCGAAGGCCGGAGCGTGACTTTCTTGCCAGTCCTGGGAGTATTTGGCCCAGGAAAACTATTACTCACAAAGAACAAGTTCAGTGCATGGTTGAATTAAGACTGTAAAAGCTCCTAAAGTTGGTTGGTATGGAAACCTAATCCCACGGAACGGCTCCGTGGCACAGCTGGACTGTTTACTTTCTCACTTCAAATATAACTGTGTAAACATTGGCTGGGAGCTGCCAGCGCGGCTCCTACCAACCAGTTAATATACTGGTGGGGCTGGGAGGACAGGAGTCCCGCCAGAGCTATGGAAGGAAGCTCCTGGGTAAAATCAAATTCCATCAAAACGCAGTTCTTCCATCCCGCATGCGATTGATCAACTTGGATACAATTTTAAGATTTTCTTAAAAAAACCAACAAAACAAACCCAAAACAAAAACCCAACAAAAAAGTAAGTAAATATTACAGATTACACCTAGGCAAATACTTTTGACCCTGGTCCATCCTGGGAGCAGCCAAATCAATATCACAAGGGAAACTTTTAAAAGTCTCGTGTTCCAAGAGTGGGTGAAACTTAATATTACTACAATAAAACGGTTTAATAAAGAAGGGCTTTAATAGTGAGCTAATTTGATTGAGTTTCCTAATTCCACTTTAATTGGAAAAGGAGTTGTCTGTTTGGTTATAAAGTGCTAGGGTTATGTTAGACTGGGAAAAAAAGATGGACGTTGAGCATCTGAATAAACTTTTTTTTCCTATTTTTTTTCCTTTTTTGGTTGGCAGCTGACTTTGTGCAGGATGGGTTTCCATATCTAGGATTATGAACGGGCTACAAAGAGCTGCTACTTAAAGAAATCAGGTCGCCACATTTCTCCCATTCTAGCCCTGTTGAGAAGGGCTTAGGAGCTGTTGATTTAACTCAGCTCCCCTTTTAATTATAAAAGCCATTCTTGTGTAGTTAGGCGAGCAGGACAATTTATCAGAATTGTTGCCTTGTCTTGGAGGTTGGCTTGAGCTTGGATTTATACAACCGACAATGGGGATCACGACGATTAACTTTCATATGGGTAGTTTAGGCAGTTAGACTGGGGGGAGTAGGAGGAGAAGGGAGGGGTGAGAGAATTTGATAACTTGTCGTACTGAAATAATTCCTGATTTAAAAAAAGTAAAGGAAAAAATCCCTTGGGTTTGAGGCTGCCTCGGAGTCATTCGTATACAGAAGCCTCTGGCAGAGCATAAAATATTCAGGTCTCTTTTAGAGTAAAATAAAATGCTGTCACTTGAATAAAAATCGGCGGAACCGAGTATAAATTATTTGTGAAGTAGAGAGGCTGCGGGCGAGAGCTCGCAAACTTCCCTGTTAATTAAATCTTAATCCATGGGTCGCAGGAAGCGGCGGGGCTGTAGCAGCGGCTGCTGTACATACAGCGGGACACGTTCCAGAGTTATATTAACTGCACTCGTGTTTAATATGAATCAGCCCTAATCCACGGCATAATAAAGATCAAATTAGACTAACCATTTAGTAGCGAAATGACATTCCTTCACCTAAAATGAACCTCCCCGCGCCCTGCTCGCTGCGAGGCAGCCCCGGGAGCCCGGCTCTGGCTGAGCCCAGCGAGGCCGGGCAGGGGAGCGGGGGGGCTTTTCCAGGCTGGCCAGTTTATTTTTCAGCCTGAGGGGGGAATCCCCGCTACCCTCCCACGCTTTCCAGAGCCGCCTCTTCCCCACCCCTCCGCAAACCCGGCTGGCTGCCGAGGCCTCGGGGATGCAGGAGGCTCGGAGCGGGGTCGTCTGGCTTCCTCGGCTCCGGCCCAGAGTGTTCCCTGTCCGCTGCTGGGGCCAGGGCGACACCACGACAGGGAAAGGTGGTGGTCCTGCTTCCTGAGCAGTCAGGACCACTCCAGGGGAGACAGCGATGTTTCACTGGAGACCGAGTCCCGTGGCCACGGGAGCGCTGCGGCTCCGCTGTCGCGGCTGTCCCGGGACTCGCCGCCCCGTTTGCCGAGCTGGAAACCACCCAGCGCTGCCCGGAGAGGAGGGATGGGGTGGGATGGGGTGGGGTGGGGCGACCCCAGGTGCCCCTCACCGGCCGGGGCGGCCTTTGTGCCGGCGCTGAGCAAACACAGCTGCCGCCGGTGGCACCGTCGGAGGGAACGCGGCTCTCACCGTCCCACCCCTCGCCCCCGCTCCCGGACATCCCACCTCCGTGTTCCCTGGGCGGGGGCGAGACCAGGTACCCCGTGGCTCCCGGGCTGATCTCATCGGCAGGAGAGCAGCGCCGGTGTCAGGCACACGAACTTCCCACGTCCCCCGGCGAGGGGACACCTCTGCCTCTTCTCACGGTGCGGGCATCCCCCCCGTGTTGTCATAACATCCCCATGGCAACTGCGGCAATTACTTCTATGCCAGAACTACAATAGGAAAGTATTTAATATATTTAAATGTGATTAAGCAGGTGGAAGAAACGAGGAGGAGCAGCTCCGTAGGAAGAGCTTCCAGGGAGCCCCCGGGGGCTGCAGCTCGCCCGGGGCAGCAGCGGCACGTCTGGAACTCAACAGATGGAAGCGAGCGAGGGACGCAGAGTTACAACGGGAGAGGAACGGAGTGATATACTCTTTTCTGCTGCCTTTAACACCAATTGAAGCACGTGAAAATTCATTCCGATTTCCATCTCTCGGATTTCGACAGAAATACTAATGCACCGTTGCAAAATAATATTTACTGTTCCTCCCTAGTTTCCCCTTTATTTCTCTCCACCTTTTTATTAGGGAGAAAATAAATAAAAAAAGGCCCCACAAACCTGGGGCTTACTGCTGCTAGCAGTAAATTCGGAAAACAGAAGGCATCAAAAAAACCCCTAGAACTGCACAAAGCTAGTTTGTATTTCATCTCCAAAACGAGCTTAGTAGAAGAAATAACACCTCGTCCAAAGAAAAAAAAGAAAAAAAAAGATAGAATTAATTTAAACACACACTTTAACCTGAAAATTATTCCTTTTCAGCCGATACCCCTCATTTCTGTCGTTAGGGAATCTAGTAACCAATGGAAGAGAGGCCCCTGACCCAGGGAGCCGCGGCCGCTGCTGGGGCGGTGGATGATGTCCAGCAAGAACTGCTGCAGCTTTTCCCCGGGAGCTGCCGGGGCTCAGCCAGCGGAGCCCCAGGAACCGGGCAAGCCACCTTGGTCTTGAAATCAGCGTGAATTGTGTGAAAGCGGCCGTCTGATGGATTCGGTGGGAATTACTGAGTGCGGCGGCAGAGGAAGGAGGGTGCGGTGCTGGTGCCGGGGAGGCGCTGTTGGTGCGAGGGACCTGCCCTGGGGTAGGAAGAGGTTAAAGGGTGTGGGGATGAGCTGGCTCATCCCGGCTAACAGCTGTGTGAGCTGAAATAGCTGAAGAAGGTATATTGGGAAGAAATTCTCGTGCTGGATAATGCCTAAAGGTAAAAGAAGGGTGAAAAGGAGGGAAGGGGTGAATTCCAGAGCAGAAGAATAGGGCCAAGGACTGATGGGGTCTCAGGCT